GATCTCGAAAAGTATGGTCCCTTAAAATTAGGGGCAATAGCGGTTGGACGAGATTGCCATGACGAAAATAACATGGAAGGGGTATTCGGACGAGATTTCAGTTATTGCAATTGCTCAAGGGGCTGTCTGCATGTGCCAGAACTGTACAGAACTGTCTTTCACTGTTGTTATGGGTCATGACGAGTTGTTTGAACTTCCTTTATGGGTTCCCTAGTGACCAGTGCAGCCTCTACAATGTCAGTGAAACTCGCCCAAGGATACACACGAGCCAATCTTTGAGCCTTCATAACTCTCTAACTAGGCTGTTTTTCGACCGAATAGTGCCAGATATGATATACGCGGGGGCCTGAAATTCATCCTGTGGGAGAATCTCAGAAACCACTTTTATCGTGAACCGTGCCTTTAAATTCAACTGTTTGGGCTAGCTTTGGTTTCATTCCTTGATCATTATCTTTTGTGGTGCACTCTGTGAGTGTATAAATAAGTAATAAATGCTACTCGTATATTCGTGAGTTATTGTGAGCTTACATGCTGTGAGTTTTTTCTGATCCTCGTTTTGTGAAAATGTACGGCGCTCGAGTTCAAAAACATCCCCCTTAGAAACCAACTGAATCCCCTCATACCAATCTTTCTCCTATGAGGGAAAGTCAAAATTCGCCCATGATGATTATTCGAAAAGATTCTTGCTTCAACAGGTAGTGACTTGGGGTCAACCAAAATGGAAGGTGTTGTTGGAAGGACGTTATCAGGAGAAAAACGTTTGATGATAAGGACTTCTTTGTCGACTACCCCACTCTACTCTTAGAAGATCGATCGCTGCTGTAAATCGATTTTGCCGACCAATTCCAGGTGGGCAAGTCTTGGCTGATAATTCTCAAGTTTGTAGTGGTGCAATGAAAACCGAAGCGGATAAAGTAAGTCACATCTGCTACTAGAACCAGTTTCTGCCTGCAATTGGACCTACAATTCGGCATTGCTATTTCAACTCATTTTCATTTCGACTAGGCGGATGACGAGCGGACGACAAGAAGAGATTTTTTTTTAAATTTTATTGTCTGACAAGCTTCCAGGCTGGAGAGAAAAAGGTTGTTTTATGACTTGTTTTCGATGCTACCGTTTTCACCCGCAGTGAATTGATATCGTTCATACGTCTCGATAAGAGTAAAATTTCCGTGAAATCTAATTTCTGAGCAAACCATGAATAGTGAGGAAAGTCCCTTTTTGAGGGCTTGAGAAACTCTGGTCAGATGAATTGGGTTTAATTTAAATAAGTAAATCGTTGGGTAGTAACGTTACTGTTGAAATTTTTTTTATGTCACAGGTATGAGGTATGTCACAAGTACTGCTTCCCGAATTTGTCCCTGTCCCAAGTAAACAAATATGGTACAATGTCCCACTAATTCATCTTCATCCTTGATGTTTGTTGGTCAGTGAATAATAAACTTTAGGGCAAGAATGATCCTCATGTGAATGGCTTTGCCAGTTACCATGTCAAGTAGGGATCTCTATCATACAAAATCTAAATCCCAAATTATTGTTACGAATTGGGCCGAAGCTGTGTCAAAAATTATTCGGATGTAAATGGAAGGCCATATAGGTTCCTAAAGCTTCGTGGCCGTTCTGTATATTCGGATGACCACTAACTGTCATGGCATAGAAAAAAACTACTACTCTTCCTGGATTAGAGGTTGATGAGCTGAGGGTATCGTTACTCCAGTTGTCGAGTAACATCTGCCGGCCACCATGGGAAATCAAATTCATGCTTGGGAGACAGGCACGAAAATTCAGTCCGGCACTCGGTTCTTACAGTA